GAACACCAAAAGCCGAACGACCACTCAGGTCGAAAACCGAGAGACCCGCCACTAGGGTCGAACACCAAAAGTCGAACGACCACTTAGGTCGAAAACCGAGAGACCCGTCACTAGGGTCGAACACCGAAAGCTGAACGAACACTGGGGTTGAAAACCGAGTGACCCGCCATTGGGGTCGAATGCCGAGAGACCCGCTGCTGGGGTCGAACACCAAAAGCCGAACGACCACTCAGGTCGAAAAATCGAGAGACCCGCCACTGGGGTCGAACTTTGATTCCTAGAGCAGATTTCTATGCTCCTCATTTTGCAATGTCGACATTCCTTTGCTATCTCCCGATCTGCTTACTTTGGTGGATTTTCTCGATCTTTTCATGAAATCTTGAATTTGAAAATTTAAACTCACGTCTATTGTTTCTCGACCACCATGTTCGAGCTCTCTTCACGTTGAAAATACATGATATCTTTCACGTCTCCGTTCTAAAGAAGTACATATCAAATCCATCACACATTTTAAGAAGCGAGCCGAAAGAACTTAAGACTAACTTGAGTTACGAGGAAATACCCGTGGAGATACTCCAACGAGAAGTGAAACAACTACGGAGCAAGGAAATTCCGTTGGTAAAAGTGTTATGGAGAAATCAATCAGCTGAGGAAGCAACCTGCGAGAAGATGAAATGAGAGCGAAATATCCAGAACTCTTCAAGTAAGTAAAATTTTGTGGACAACATTTTTAAAAGGAGGAAAGGATGTGATATCCGAACCTTAAACTACTTACTAGCTAATAAAATTTATAGACTTTATATATTTATGAGTACAACATAATTTGAATTCACATGTGTTGTAAGAACTAACGAGATCATATAAAATATAAGTTATACTCTGGGAGTGATAATTTTATTAAATTGAAGTTTTATTCCATTAAAGAAATAAATATATAGGTTCATGTATAAATATAAAATAAATAAATATATATATACATAAATAGAAGTCAATGCATTTTATATATGTTATAAAAAAATAAAAATCTAAGGTTTAATAAGTGCTATATGATTTTTTAATCAATACGTTTTTGTATACATGTAAATTCAATGATCAAATGGCATAAATCAATAAGTGTAGAAACCTGATACATTAATCATGTCACTTTTATTAGTTTATTAAATTTAAAGTTTAAGTATGTGTATAATTTAATGCCTTCGGCTAAGTGCATGGATGATGGTAATGTTTTACATGCAAGAGTCGTGTAATATATATAAATATATCCTAGTTAGTCATGCATGCATAAGTATTCTTAGTTTATACATAAATCTATATCTATAATAATATAAAAATGTTTGGCATTTACATGAAATAGCAATTAAAATCTCGCCTAAAAATTTAAAAACTTACTAATTTTGGAAAAAAATTTCAAAATTTTTCAAAAATCCCGCCATTGAATCATTCATTTGGAAATGTAAAATTGTTTTGAATTAATTTTATGGTAAATTTCATTAATTATGGAACAAATTTTAATTATGATTTTCAATATAAATAAAAATATATTATCTTATTAGATACATCCGCAACATTCCAAATATTGGAATGATTTAGTCAAAAATTTATTCTGTTTAATAAAATGATTGACTCCAAATTTATTTCGGTATATCAATTATGAAAAATATCTTCCAAAATTATTGGGTGAAAATTATCACTTAAAAAGCGGGTAAAATATACATAACCCCCCTGTATTATACGAAATCTGCACGTTTTCCTCTGGTATTTTAAAAATTGCACGTTTTTCTCTGGTATTTTAAAAATTGCGTCAGACCCCTTGTATTTAACTAACTGTTGAACGATTCCCCCCTCTCCGTCCAACTTGACGGCGCGTGCAGTACACATTGCTCTTATGCGATAATTATTCATTTTTTTCATATTTTTTTTATTTTAAAATTAAATTTACTATTTTGCCCCTTGCTTTTCTAGCCATTATTGGCAAAAAATTCATTTTTTTCATATTTTTTTTATTTTAAAATTAAATTTACTATTTTGCCCCTTGCTTTTCTAGCCATTATTGGCAAAAAATTCTTTGCTGCTCCTAGGATTCGAACCTGGGCCAAAAGCTCCATAGCAAGATTTCCAACCACTGCGCCACCATCATTTTGTAGAACATACCTAGCACCACTTTTATTTAGAACAACAACACAGAGAAAAACTTAATCAAGTCTAGCATAAAATAATAAAAAAAGAAGTAACTATAAGGAAATACGGAAATATAATTAAGATAAAATTAAATAAAATAAAATTATGTGTTAATTTTGAAAATAATAAATAAATAAATTAATAAATAAATATAATAATAATTAATATAATAATAAACTAATAATTTTATTTAATCAAAAAAATAAAAAAAATAAAATAACACAAACTAAAGTAGTTATAAAAAATATAATTAAAATAAAATAAAATAAAATAAAAAATAAATTAAATGAAATTAAATGTGAAATTTGAAAATAACGAATATATTACTACTTAATAAAAAATAAAATGATAATTCATTTAAATAAATCAAAATATAAATATAATAAACTTTAATATAAAATTTAAATATACGTTTTTGAATTGAAGTATTATAATATATATAAATAAAAATAAACTGAAATAAAAATAATTTATTTAAATAATGAAATAAAATGATACTTTTATATATAATATATTATTAAAGTATTAATTTGCAAATAAAATATTTTGTATTCAATATATATCTATATATATGATTTATATTTATTTATTTTATTTAGTTTTATATTATTTTATACTTTTTTAAAAGTTTGAAAAATATATAAATTCTATTTTTCAATAAAATTATTATTTTTGAATTTGTAATACATAATTTATGTACTTATTATTTATTCGTTTATTTATTTAAATTCTAGTAAATATATAATAATTAAAAATTCTATTTATAATTCAAAAAACTATTAATTAAAATATCAAGTATCATTTGTTATGAGCTTTAAATAATATAAATAAGTTTTGGTT